TTATACATAAAAAATAAAATAAAAAATTAAAATTTAGGGAGGCGCGGCCGTCCATACTCTCCCCTCCCTAGGTCTGCCCTTGTCTGATATCAAGTGTTGGATCGAGCGCTTACCACTAGGTCAAAAATTATAACTGTTAGTTATGGTGCAACTCTTTCTACTTACCTCTATTAATCCAAACATCATAGTTCCATCTTACTCTGATCTCACATTTGACTTTGCCAATTCAGGATGTTTCTCCAACATTTGTAAGTTTATGGTGCCACTTAATCTCTAGCTTTTTCTTCCTCTTTCTTTATATATTTACTTGGTGAGTTAGGTCATAACTTGCACAATTGCCAATCTATCTATGTACTAAGGTTCGTTTGTCTTGGTCCAAAGAATATTAAGCTGGAAGTTAACCAGTTCGGTGATTTCTTGGTGGTCCATAATTGTACTTTTTATTGATTTTCCACATCCATATTTGTACTATTAATCGAAGTTAAGGTTCGGGAAATCATTTATGGATTGAAGTTAGATCATGTACAAAGCTAGATTTATCTATTATTAAAACATGTTCTTATATTATGTGAAACTTGAGTTGGAGTTAACTTCATATTTCCTCCTTGTCCAACCAGTGCTGTTTTACTTTTTTTGACTAATAATAGTGGGTAGTCTAACTCCAACTACTGACTTTCAAGCATAGGATGCCCCATCTTTTCTACCCTCTATGTCTTAGAAAGTGCTCTTATTCCATATGCTATATAGAAAAATAAAGAAAAAGCAAAGTTGTTTGTACTGCACTATATATGGAGAAAGATGAATTATCACAACTGAAGAAGTAGCGAAATCATCTTTGTGAAAGGAGGGAAATGGAGTGGAATTACGACTAAATAATTTCTTTTAATTAATGTTTAATGAAAAAATCTCTATAAATAACCAAATAAAAAATATGTTAAAATTAAAATCTAGAAAGTATATTGTAAATTTTCATATAGAAATTCTACAACCCTGAAGATCAACTTGTATGCCTCCGATATTATCATTTTTTACACTAAAAGCACACAATGACATCAATATTAGAATTCCACGGTAGGATTGTATGGAATTCCACGGTAGGGTTAAAGGTTTGTATACTGCATCCTCCGATGTAAAATTCCTGAGTTGTGAAAAGCAATATGGAATTGGATGAGACCTCAGAGAATCAAATTATTTTTATGGAAGGTGGGACATGATAAATAGCAGATTAAATAAAATTAATTTGGGTGATACAATTTGCCCAGTTTGCAATCAAGAAGTTGAAAGCACTTTATATTTGTTAAGAGACTGCTCTTTAATCAGAAATGTCTGGTTAATGTTGTCACCTTAATTGGCTGGTTCTTCCTTTTTTGGTCTTAACTTGCAAGATCGGCTAATGGCTAATTTAAAGAACTACTCAACCGGTTGTTTCAACCTATACTGGACGTTGTTATTTGGTGTAATGTGTTGGAAAGCTTGGTCATGAAGAAATGAAATTCTCCACGTTTGTAGGAGGAATTGATAGCAGGTATAAGATTGAGATTATAATTTCATATGCTAAGAAGGTGTTTTTAGCTTGTGAATCGGGTAATAATAGAATTTGTGATAGATCTATTCCAGCAAACATGATCGGATGAGAGCCTCCTGAGCATGGGTGGATCAAAATAAATACTGATGGGGCTTCTAGAGGTAACCCGGTTAGAGCTGCTTGTGGTAATATGATTCGTGGTTCAGATGGTAAGTGGTTGGAAGCTTTCTCTTAAAAGGTGGGTTATTGCAATACAATTATTGCTGAATTGTGGGGCATTCTGAAAGGGCTGGAGAGAGCTTGGGTAGGTGGATGGAGAAAGATTATTATTGAAAGTGATCCAGCTTATGTTCTGACAAGGAAGGCAATATTTATGCGGACTGGTTAGCTAATCTTTTGCTGAAAAATTCGGATCAAGAAGGTTTTACTTTATTTCAATTTTTCCCTCCTGAGATTAGATAATTGTATATTTTTTATTTTAGCTCTGTTCACGTAACTAGCTAGACACTCTCTGATTTAATTTTTTGTTTTTTTTTGTTTGTTTAGGGGCATAGCCCCTCACCCAAAAAAACAAAAAAAGAATTCCACGGTAGGACAAAATAGCTTTCGTCAAAAGGGCATAAACAAAGTAGCTATGGTACACTAGACAACATTCTAGCAACTAATCATTTCAGAAGATCAATAGATAATGCGAAGAATCTTTATTGGTTTATTCAATTGGGAGTTGCTCTCGCAGCGACCGTTGAAGAGAAAAACTTGTCTATCAGGAGAACTGAACTCGATGTTCTCGTTTACGAAAAGGGTTACATGTTCGGCATAAATATTCTTCTTCTGTTCACTTAGCTTGAAATTCGTGATTTCATTATTTTTTTAGTGGGCGGGAAAATGAAAACTTCTTTCATGGAAGGAGAAGTTATAAACCCTTACTAAAAAAGAAAAAAATATTTTTTTATATATTTGTTTAAATCTTAATTTTTTTCTTTTTTAATAAATTGAGCAGTAAATTCAATACTCTCGGTGCATTAAAGTTTTTATCACCGTTGAAAACTCTGATCAAAACACTATGATAATGTTTACCTCCAAAAAATTGTAAAAAGTATAATATATTTCCTTAAGAGTTTAATATTTCTCATATTATAAGAGATAAAATTATTTTCTATACATCATAGGATCTATCTTATCTTTTTTTTTTTTTTTTTTTTCATATGGATTTCATATATTTTTGTGTATGCATAAAAAATAAAATTATCTCCAATGACAAAATAATCATCGTATCTTTTTCCTAATGGCATACACTCGACTCCTCAAGATCAATTTTTTTTCCTCCCCCCTCTATCTTTAAGTCATTATCTATAGTTTTAAAAAGTAACAATGATCAATCCGACATGAAAAGAATAAAGTACTTTTGATGGCATATGCTGGTTTTAGTATTTCAATGCCGCGATGCATCTTATCGTCTCCGTTATATCTTAAATACTTTATTTAAATGTCAAGCGTTTTACTTTTCTCTCGCTTTTTTTTTTTAACTGTCTTTGAGTTTCTTCTTTGTGATTTAATACAAGCTTCAGGCAATTTTTGTAAGATTGACAAAAATGTGAAAATAATTTCATATATGAAAGAGAAATATTGGAGAATTTTCACACGATATTTTATAAGCCACTAAATAGTAAAAGCAATATACCGTGGGGCATCGGCGGACCCAGTAAGGGACAGATGTCCGCAAGTGCGGACATCAAAAATTGTGATTTTAGTTTTTTTTTTTTTTTTGTTGTTGTAGGTTTTATTTGTCTCTTAATTCGATATTTATATTAGGAATAAATATTCTTTGAAGTTCTTAACAAAAAATATGGTTCCCCACTTTAGTTCCTTATAAAAAAATTAATCTCGAGGTTCTTAAGAAATTCAAAGTGGATCAATTTAGTTAAAATCATGATACCTTACAAATTCAAAAAAGACCCACATTAGTCACTCAGAAAGACTAAAATGTGTCCGCTTTGAATTTCATAGGGACTAGGTCACTAATTTTTTTTTGTAAGAAACTAAAGTGGAAATCGAATTTTTTGTTAGGGACCAAAACAAGTATTTACTCTTATATTAGTTAGCAACGTAGCAACTTATTTTTTTTTGTAAAGCGTTAATGTAGACTGTCTTCACAAAAAAAAATTTCGCCCCTATCACTAAAATGTGCGGACATAAAATTTTTTTGCTAGGTCTGCCACTGCCGTGGGGTGCTGCAGTTCATTTGCTTCCTTTCTGTTATGATTTTATTTACGTTATTTTATTATTCTCTAAATTATCGAATTGTTTCAATAATGAGTAGTTATTTTTCTTGTTTTGTTATTAGTTGAGTCTATTTGATTTTAGTAAGTAGTTACTCTTATGGTTAGTTCCTATTATCTATTTAAATCTTTAAATATTGAAATAAAAATTAGCAGATCATATTAGAAAAGTTATTCCAAAAGACACTAATACAAGAGGTCAGACTTCCTCAATAAAATCATTTGAGGTCAGCTTCTTCAGTAAAATCAAATTCCTAGTTTTATTTACTTTGTTCGTAACAATTGATATCAAAGTTCAAGCATGGACAAACATGTTCAGAAATTGAAAGACGCGATCCAATTTTTGTTGAAGCAATTCAAGAAGATGTTTATCCAATTTTCCAATCGATTGAACGTCTTGGTGGCTATCAGGTCCAACACCATCTCATCTACAATTGAGCTGACAAAATTATATGTGGCCCACAATCAAAAGATCATTTTTCAGCTCAGAATGTGCGACAACATAACACTTTCATCTTCACTGAAGTTGTATTGAGTGGCGTTTTCGTGTTCCCTCTCTTGCTGAGCCCACGCTGTGCACCTATTTAAATTGTAATACTTACATAGCATTAGAAACAAAATTTCCAAGAAAAATTAGGTGTAAATGCAGTGAGATTAGTCCATATGTCGTAATTTAAGCTGAATGTAAGATTGTTCCATGTAATCCGAACGTGATGGATTTGAATATGGGATATTAGTATAACAATTATTAAACTTCTTGGTTTAATTTGAATAGCCCGCCTGACAGAGAAAATATACTTGGATGGGCTTGGTTTCGATGATGGTTAAGAAAAGCCCAGCGTCATTGCTCATTCAGTCATTTGACTCATTTGTGTCCAATCCCTCTGCCACTTCCAAATTTCTACTAACACAAGCTTCAATCCATGCCTTTCAATTTGCGGTGCGAGAAGCAATTTTACGAGGGGAACGACGCATTTCTCTTAAGAAAAAAGAGTTAAATGTGCACTGAATAATTTCCTTTTTTCTGGTAATTACTATAATTTCTTTGACCTGCGTAAAACTACGTAATAAAAGTATAAAACTACAAAGAACCAGAGATAAAATAAAATAAACCTGCCTAAACACTCAGTACATTTGAATATCTTGCGATCAAAATACAAAAGAAAGATAATCTCTCTCGTGTTTGTAAAAGAGACGCCCTAGACAAAACTGAAACGACTGAACAAATCCAATAAAGAAACTCGAGACAAATTTTTATGGGTCCTTGTTTTTTTCTTGGGTACTGCTGCATCTGAAAGCATCAAATTGCACCTGCACAACCTAGAAAGAGGCATTAATATCTCATCAGATTTTGCTCATTAACCGTTACTGTTATTGAATTGAATGCACAGCGCTTGTAAAGAGGCGTCAGATGTGTCACAAAATTACATAAATAGTAGAGTAAACTTTGACTTTGGATCCTCTCGTATTTAAAAGTGATCATGTTATTTGATCACAATCACTCATTTAAAAATTATATATTTTTTTCTCTTTTATCTCATTATCAATGAGTGGTTGTGATAAAATAATATGATCACGTGACTAGTTTCAAACATGAGAGGATTCAAACTTTAGGTTTGCCTTGTTTCATCCAAAATAATTTGAAACCAATCAATCTTAAGCAACATTATGATTTAAAAAAAAGACACATGGAAGTCAGACTTAGAAGAGGTACCTTCAATTGATGGTTATAGCATTACAATAGTTTCTCTTGCGCCTCCTTGCTTTCCGCAAAATCCGAGCGGTTTCTTCCTCTTCCTCCTTGGTCAAATTTCCGAATAGGTCTTCTCCATGGCAAAACATATTTAGAGCAGTTACTATTTCTATTCAAATAATGATAACTTATCACAAAGACATTTGTAACAAATTAAATTTATATATTACCGGTAATAATTTAAAGTAGATCAATAAATGCAACTGGTTGGGATATTCTCTGGCCGGCCCAACTAGTTGGCCCAACAAGGCAAGCCCAGACCCAGAGCATGAAGCCATATTAGCCTATTAACCCCTGTCGGCTCCAACGCTGCCATCATCGTGCGCATGCAATAGGTTCCCAACGTAAGACACGTTGGGATATTCTCCCCTTTTCTTTGATCTCCCCAAGTCCCTATATAGATATCCCCTTCCGTGTCCACTGCACCAGTAGTTGTTACTGGCATAACAGTAGCTGCAAAGTGGCTTATTCGACTCTCCCCCATGAGAGTTGACCCGACTCATTCTCCCAGGCAAGAAAGGCATCAAATCTTCCTATAAATACCTCCTCCCTCTCCCCATAAAGGAGATCATCTCATAGCCGTTACTCCGCCGCATTGAAGAGCCATTTTAGCCCATGTCACACACCTTTCCCCTTTTCATCAGCACAACACTACACCTGGGATTTCACCGCTTAGCCTAGGTCTATACCTATGCTAAGATGATATCCCAATAGTGACCATAACACCTATTTGGGTTACATCTTGGGCTCTCAGCTTCACTAACGATTTAAATATCAACTCTAATTACTTTTTTGAGGGAGTCAGCCCCGATATTTCAACAAATTTTAACTTTGAGTCGTCAAAATTAAAATTTTCCATCCCTCTCCAAATATGTATTTAGTGGGAAATAAGATTTTTAAGCATAATAATATGGTAGTGAATTGTTGCCATCACCTCTTTTAAACAGCAGATAATGTCAAGCAATGATTTTCATGTCCCAAAACTGCGTCTAGCCTCTAGAACTTGAATTCATTCCTTATACCGGAATTGCTCGCTACTACAATAGTCCAATTTCCAACTATTTTGAAACTTAAAGCATTAAAGGGATGAAAACAAAGTAGACAATTGATGTTCATTTCTGTAAAATCTGAGCTGAGGAGACAATATAATCAATAATAGACACCAAAAGAAGGTTATATTATTGTTTTGCCAACTACCTGCGTTTCCATCGACCAAGCAGGAAAAACCTCCATCAGTCTCCTCATCAGATTCAATAAAAATTGTACACTCTCTTCCTCCTCTTGCATACTGTCATTTGAAACTGTTAGAAAACAAATTTGGTTTGCAACTATCCACCGCCAAACCAGAAAATTTCGGAAGCCATGAGATGTATGGAGAATGAGGCATATGGAAGATAAAAGAATCAAGTAGAAAATTGCACCGCCATTCAAGAAGTAGCTACTACCGCCATATCAATGTTCTTGAAAGGAATAGGAGTTGAATGGTTAAAGAAGCAAAAAGATTAAAAATAATAAAAGAAAAGACAAAGTTGGAAACGAAAGAAAGTTGTAGAAAACTTCAGAATATTATATGCTGGCAAAGTAAGAAGAAAAGACGGATGGAGAAAGTTGATGAAAGTTGTAGAGTTTAAATATTATAATATATTAGGAAAAGTCGGTTAGACGAAGTCTATAAATATAGCTGCATGTTGTAGTTTTATTTATGTGAGTGAATGTGATTAAGGAATTAGAAGTGCCGAAGCACTAATTGAGAGTAAGAGAAGTATATGTGTGTTAGTGGTATTAGAGAAGAGAGGGAATTGAAATTTTTTCCCAACAGAAACAGTAATTGGCAATTGATAAAGCATATATAAGATTTGTCAAATTAATAAGCAGAAATTTTTTGCATGAAAATGAAGCGACAGATGTATGGTTCTTTTTGCTTGTGCATATATAAGGACAAAAATTTGAAAATACCTTGTCAGTGTATGGTTCTTTTTGCTTGTGCACCTCAGATTTTCTATCTGAAAAAGTGACTCTCTCTTTTTTTACTGGCTTCCAGCCTCCCATTTCTACCTTTGGAGCTACAGTCGTTTGTGCGCTCATCTTCGTTTCCCTGAAGTCAAGAAAATACCTGTGACCTTGGTCATAGTAAATGCTTTTGGAAGTGCCAAATGTAACCAGTCGGAAATAAAAGCATTAATTATGCAATACAGTAGGGACGAACAAAGGAAAATGATAAAATAACAAATCATTACACTCCAATAGACATGGATTTTATCAGCCAATGTGCAAAAGTGGATAAATTATAATAAAATCATAGTGTAGAAAATTGAATAATTGTTATCACGTGTTGGTCGTGAAAAAATAAAAGCAGCATTGTCCAAAAGAAAAAAGGATGAATAACCTCCAAAAGAAGTGACTTCACTCCTTAAGTGTATGGGACTTGGGAAATAACGTTAATTAACCAAAAAGGAGCCTCAGTTCATGAAAAATTCAGTTGTTTATTTCTTTTACTAATATATTTAATTCTATTATCGGAAGGGTGGGATGATGTTAAGAGTTTCCTCCTTGAGAATAAAACTTACAGCAGACACATGAAAGCCAAACAACATCTAAGAACTTTGACAAAAACGTGCACGATAACCGTTTTAATTATGCATGTGTATATGGATGCACGATCTCTCTCTCTCCCTCCCTCTCTCTCTTAACGATAATGTGATTTTTAAATCAAATTCATTCAGCCATAAAGCAAGGTAGCAGTTTAACCCCGCAAACAGAGAGCTACTCATCAAATAGGTTATTAATTACATATGAAAGTTAGGAAATTGATGTCATACAAAATTAAATTCAACCCACAGTATATTCATCCTCACATGGGAGCGAAAAGTATATGATATTGTCCCGTAAGCAACGCTTCAAAATGTTTTCATAAATGAAACTTGATGAAATCCACCAAGTAATAATGTAGGCAAATGGATGAAACTTTCGTAATTGATCAGAGACACTATTAGTATTAGGTAAAGTTACGAGGTACACGTACTTGGCAAGAGGCTGACGCATTTTTGGTGTGGTAACTTGTTTGCTAATACTCTGCAAGCTAACAATGCATCAGGTTTTTCATTAAACTATTTTTTCACCGTTAAAAATAATCAGGAGCAATATAATCTTTTTCACAATAGAAAAAAAGAGAATATATACTTTGACCATAGGAAAAAAATCAGGAAAATCGGTTAATGATTCCTTAATCGAGATAGAGCACCTTTGAAGATAGAATAGACTGACCGAGATCCTTTTGATTGAGGCTTTTTAAACTGCAAGAGATTTCCTGCAAGTACTAATTGGTAAAGCACCCGTTGGTTAGAGTCATCTAGGAGACTAAGATATTAACGTGTTAGTGTGTAGATGTGATATGTGAACTGCATTTGCAGAGTGTTGTGATGACACATTTTCAGTAACATTGGTCTTTTGCAGCAAATTCAAGATTTGCTTATATTGATCTTGAATAACTGTCATGCAAGGTTGATCTTGCTTCATTTTGACTTGAGTTGTGGATGAACTATCTTGCATATCACAATTGACATTGGCAACTGAAGCAGTATTGGTATTCCTCCTATAACCAGGTGGAAAATCATGAAGTGTGTAGCATGTTTCAATGGTGTGATTGCTCCTATTACAATGAGTGCAAAATTTTGTGTTGCCATTTCGTCCGGCATTGCCACGGCCACGTCCTCTAAATCCTCATCCACCATTGTAGGAACTGTACCTTCTTGATGGATCTCCCATCACAGCTAAGGCTTGAGGATTATTGTAACATCCCGGGCGCTGACGAGGGCGGGGAGTGATCGCCGGTGCGAAAGGGCATGGACAAGGAGCGGCTCCTGGCAGGCTTCTAGGGACGGGGGTACATGAATGAATCGAATCCACACCCGAAAGAGAGGGATTCCAGAGACTGTGCTGGTATGGGACGGTATAGTTGGGAATGGCTTATAAGAATTAATTGGTACTACCTATACTAACAAGATGCATCTACTTTTCGGTAGCCCGGAACGGAAGAACTCCACAGTTAAGCGTGCTTGACTTGGAGCAATTCTGGGATGGGTGACCTCCTGGGAAGTTTTCCCGGGAAGTGTGCGAGTGAGGACAAAGCACGCTGAAAAGTCTCGTGTTAGTGTGTGGGGACAGTCGTTAATCCTTGCAAGTTGTCAGGCGTTACAATTATTAGCAAAATTCACATTACCTTATGAGAGAAACTGGCGTTCTTCTTGTGATACCATTGCAAACGCTTTGGTTACATTTGGCAATGGATCAAGAAGCATCAACTGTGAACGTACATGAGCATATTGCTCATTGAGACCTCTTAGGAACCTTATCGTTTGATCATTTTCTCGATACAAATGCATTCGTTCAGTAGCACCACACGCACAAGGAACCACTGGATTGGGAAGAGGCTTCAAGTTTTCCAATTCATCCCACATTATTTTCAGCTGAGTAAAATACTCACTCACTGATCTTTCACCTTGGCATAGTTTATGCACTTCTTCTTGCAGATCAGATACACGGAAGATATCTGACTTTGAGAATCTATCTCTCAAATCACACCATGCATTATAAGCGTTTTCAATCCACAAAATAGACTGTACTATAGTTTGGGTGATCGATCTATGAATCCAACTCAAAACTATAGTGTTACATTGATCTCAGGCTTCAAAGGATGGATCATCTTCAGCTGGAGCTACAATAACACCATTGATAAAACCAAGTTTGTTCTTGGATCTCAAAGCCATAGTCATAGCTCGAGACCAAGAATGATAATTGTTTCCATCTAACAGAGGAGTCACCAACACTTGCGATGGACTCTCATTTGGATGGAGAAAGAAAGGATGTACCGGATTAGTCAAGAATTTAGGAAGAACAACTTGATTCGCCATGTTCAACGATCAGAAAACGAACCAAAGAAATCTGAAGCAGATATCAGAGTATTAAAGCTCTGATACCATGTTAAGAACCACTTCAACCCAAAACTTTAAGGTGTTGGGTGAGGGTCTTTTTAAGGCTTTATATTATTCTCTAACATAACGAGAGGCAAAAAAGACACCGTAATATAGTACTAAAAAAAATGTGAAGAGGGGTTTTAAGCAATCTTTACATTGTATAAATATCTATAACTACCTTAACAAAAATTTCAAGTTAAATATGCGTGCATATTTTAATCATTATTCGTTGCCATATCTTACGTGCCTGCATTTCCTTAGTAGTACTGTGGAGATCATTTCGCACACTCTGCAGAGAGGCTTCCATTAGCTGAGGCAAGGCTGAAACCACCAAAAACACTTCCTGCAACTTCTCTTGGTTTGTAACCTGATTCATTTGTTCAGATAAATATTTCAAGCTCCCATCAAAGCTTGCTCTAATTTCTTCTTGTCCTTTAGCCTGATTTAAAACCACTGTCTTTCAGTCTACAGAACTTTGACATCCATTGATGTTAGAGAAATCATGCAAGTCAAGATCAGGTTATTACCATTAACTGAAGTGAGTTATCCTGAGCAATTAACTTCTGCCTTATGCATTCCACTGAATTGAAAGTGAGTAGTCAAAACTGTATACTAGGTTATTAAGTAATTCACGCAACAGACCCAACCACATAATACGTTCAGCAGTTCAGATTATTATAAATTTGAAAATGGATGCAACGCACCCAACCAAAGAAAGTCAGATAAAGCAAGATGGCATAAAAAAGTTAATGAATAGTAAATCAAGCTAGATATCAGAGTAATAAGTACAAAAATGAGGCATCCTTATGTTGAACTATGTTTCAAAGAATAAACAATTGTTGGAAAATACAACATAAACAGAGAACAAAATTTTAGTAGAATGTCTTGAAAAAAGTGATCACACAAATTTAAATTTAAAGTCAATAAAGGATCAATGCAAGAACTAGATTTTATTTTTCCAAAGACTCACTATCTTCCATATAAAGTACTCATATTGATCGGTATAAATACAACTTCCACAAATCATTTTCAGAATATTGTCAATACTTAGAATATGAGTCACTTACACTCTAAAATAACTTCCTTTGTTCCTTTGTTTACTTGCATTACGTCATTTTGAACAGAATCCAAGATCATTGCAAACCTGCTCAATGAAGTTTCCATTATGCCAATTTTTTGTTCAAGTCCTTCACTTAACTGACCTGCTATAGCAAATAATAGATTCATTATCTTTAGTAAAGTAACATGCCACGTAAAAAGACACTAAATTGACTTCCTACGTTTGCATAGATTCAATCCAACGAAGCCAATCAATCTAAGATATGTCTAATGTGGATCCTAAAAATATAAGCTATTGAAACAAAATTCATACTTTCATGAAATACCTTACTTTTATGATCTGCAGAATTCCATTTGAGCATGAGATTGGATGACGATCTTGAGTTAGGTGGTTGACTCTCTTCCCGTGAATATGTAAGTCGGGGCAAGCTAGAAATCCTCCTCCAAGAGTTCTCATGTTCTTGAGAACCAACTCTCTAGAAGGATTAAAAGAGCATAATATACATAGAATAGAATCATGAACTGCATGTATTTATGTTTATATACTAACGAAAAGGGATAAATAACTCAAACAAGAAATGTCAGTTTTACTAACTTTTCCTAATTGAGTGAAGGATCTATAAGAGGTTCTCTATTTACCAGGAAAACTTACCTAGTAGAAACCTATTATGCATTTCAAAAGTTCAGATATCAGAAGCAGGGTAGAGGAGCTTTTCCTCTTAAATTTGTAGATTTAAGTCCCACACAAGGTAGTGCGTAGTGGCATTACAGAAAAAAAAAAAAAAGGTAGTGCGTAGTGCACCATGGATTTCTCACCCGTTTCCAATAGGGTATTAAAAGTAAATAGGCTAGACGTTTGAGTTCACTCGCATGGTTAAAGGACAATAGGTGTACACTGGATAACTGTATAGGAGGTGAGCATTTATAACCAAACATTAGTGTCAAAATTGTGTCTATTTCTCTCTTCCTACATATTAAATAAGTGGAATCCAATTAAAATTTGTCAATACTAGTAAAAAGAGAGATAGACACAAAAGTTTTACATGACCAGATCATAGTGGTATTCACTCACTCAGGGTGGCTTAAGCAGTACACAGGCTTACAGCAACATTTTTAATTTCTCACGCAAATCATGCTCTATTTCTTCTTGTTTATCAGTAGGTTTTTCCGAAGTCAGAAATGATTTATAAAAGAAGTACAATCAAGTTCATGCAACTGTGAAGCTTATTAAAAGATGTTCAAATGTGGTAAACTAGTGCAATTGGAAAATGACATCCTATATGAAAATCGGAAATTCCTGCATAATTTAGGAAGCAAGATTTAACCTGATCATTTGTTGTGACAACCTCATCAAGGGAGTTTTGAGAGAAATGAGACAACATTCCATGCTGAGATGAAAGCCCCTGAGAAAATGACTGCTGAGATTGTTGCGAGCGATGCTGTGACGCTTGCATTCCACTTGATACAGTGTTTGGTCTCCTTTAGATTTTTTATTCCACAACAAACAGCAAAAGCGACCAAACTTATCAACACCGCGCTATTTTATAACGAAACCTTGTTACATACAGTTATTAATATTCATTCTAACACAGAAAACTCAAAACGGAACCAAAAAGAAGCATGGAATTTGAAATGAGACATGATCCGGCTGAAGTATGTGTTATAAATCACTTTAACTTAGTTTCTAGATCCTATAATTTCACAGGATTCAAACAGAGCGTTCTGCAGAATTCATGATAATTGAAAAGACGAGGTTCATCGGCAATAGGATCTGCAACTGAGGCAGAAATTCAGCTAAAATCATCCTCAAACGAACACATATCGGAACTAAACTTCAGATCTACAATTTCATTCTCTCTAACGATTCGGTGAAAAAAAGAAGTGAATCGTAATTGAAAAAGCGTTATGTCATTACGAAGAATACAGAGAATAAAGGAAGTTTAAAATAACCTTGAATATATGAGAAGAGGAGGAAAGACGGAAATTGAGTTGAGATCGCAGGCCTTGTTGATCTTCATTTTCATTTCGAATCGGAGATGAAACTCCGTCTATGTCATCGTCGTGGAAATCTGCAGAATCGGTAACCGTTGCGAGTGCGACAGAGGAATCTCACACTCTCCCTCCCTCCCTCTTTCTCAGTAGCTTTGTGAACAAGGAAGATAAAACTCGCTAACTGCAAACGAAGGCGCGAATGGAATGCGAATTTTAAAGATTAAATATTTAAATAGACCGTTTGTTTGGGTTGTTTAATGGGTTTAAACTGAAACGGGACGGATCACGGGCCAATTACTTGCTTCGAATCAAGAGCTCCATGCCTCCATCCATTTGCGTTTTATAATTCTCGTGTCGAAGCAGAATTGAATTTTCATGTTGTAGAGATAAAAAGTATGTGGGACTCATGTGTTAGAAAAAATTATATGTAGGACCCATGTCAGCACGGTCGAAGGGTGTGTAGGAAAATTGTAATTCTCATGTTAAATGAGAATTATAAAACCCTATACATATATAGGTTTAGCGTGTCCTTACAAAAAATATAAGTTTATATATCTTTTCATCCCTTATAAGTTATAACTATGCAGAAAAAACTTTTATTTTATAATTATAATGGATCCGTCTCTTCTCATGTGACTGCTGATGAGAAAAGTTGCAGCAAATTTTTAACACTAGGATACACGTGCGGATCCTAGGATACACGTGCGGATTCTATCAAAAAAAAAAAAACCAGGATTCGGACGCGTATCCTGGTAAAAGTAAGTGTTGCTGCACTTTTTCCCTTCTGCAGTCACATAAGAAGTACTTTCCCCTATAATTGAGTTAAAAAATTAAAAAATTATAAAAAAAAAGACTATTATAATCATGAAATAAATTATAATTATAAAAATACCTTAATTTTCATCCTAAAATGATGCTGTTTTGGGCTCAATATAGATAACTTATCTACGTTGACTGCAGAAAAAATAAACTCTATAACTATATATTCCCGGAATACATAGTTATAATAGGTGAAATGACATAAACTTATATCTTTTAAAATGATAAATAGTTTTCTCAAAATACATACATACATTATATATATATATATTATATATATATATATATATATATATATATAGATATAGCGATTTGATTTTCTCATGTTGCATGGGAATTCAATTCTCATGTTGTGACTTAACTAGTGGTGGGTCCCGCATTTATTAAAAAAGAAAAAAGAAAAAAAAGTTTTGCACGCAAATCGAAGGGTCACAACATGATAATTGAATTCTCATGCAACATGAGAAAATATTTTCCCATATATATATATATATGTATGGTTTGATGTTTGTCATTTTAAATGACATAAGTTATGTCATTTTTTTAGAGAGAGATAGACATAAGGAATGGAAATCATGGGGAGAAAGTGGGTATTTTTTTTAATTTAAATTTTAAATAAAAAATATTATTTTGTGTCTACCTCTCTCTTAAAATAACATAACTTTATGTTATTTAAAATAACAAACACTTTTCCTATATATATATATATATATATATATATATATATATATATATATAGGGATATCTCCAGTTAGAGATTGATGACGGATTTTATCCCTAACTTTGTCTCCTAAAGATTTTGGAAGACCAGCTAAGAATTTTTCTTTCCAGAAAGGTTGTTGACTATCATCTCGAGTGTAAACCCTAGTTAGGAAGGTATCTTTATACCAACGAAAGTCACCTAAGGTTCTACATTTAAGATTGGATAGGAGTTCAGCAGAACGATCTTTCCATAAGGATGGATCACCAATGAAATGTTGGATAATGGTGAAGATTAATTGATTAACAGCATCTGGAATAGTTTTTCCATTAGAGACTATAGGAATGCCATCAGGATCAACTTTAATGGCATTAAGAACAGAATTTTTTTCATCTTCAGAAAGATAATTATCCCACCAACCTTTGAGTTGACCAGAGAAGCCAGAGACAATAATATTGACTATAATTGCTTCAGAACAATTATGAGAAGTTTGATAGGCAGTTGCAACAATAGTCATATGGTGCATTATATTGAGTATGTTATACTCTGATTGACCATCTATGTTCCATTCATAGACGTTGTTACCATTAAAACTTTTGAAACTTGTATTCTTTTCTTCAAGTAGAAGATCAGGAGCAGTTGCTTTTTGGTAATAAAGTTTGGAAGGGTTTCTCCAATTATTAATACCAGTTATAGGATTAATTTTAATTTCAGATTTGTTATCTGACTCAGGAGATTCATCATAATGATTCAGAGTATTGATAGTTTTTGACCGAGTGTTATGTTTATGAGACTGTTGAGTCTCTTGATCAAAATGTTGTGGGGTATCAGGAATGGTTAATGTACTTAACTTCTCATCAATTTTTTTAAGAAATTCATCCTGAGACTGAGATTGAGCAGGTTTTAACTTTGCAAACTCTTTTCTAAGTTGATCATTCATTTTGAAAGGTTTGAACAAAGGTTTTTCTAAGATTTTAGAAAAAAATGCAGAGGATGAAGGTTCAATAGTTTTGTTAAGTTTTTCACTCAAAATTTGAAGATATTTATTGGTGTAATTAGATTGTTCAATAAGATTTTTAAAATCCATTGGAGAGATTTGTTCATTTTCATCTTTTAATTTAAAAGGTAAAGTAAGAACAGATCTACTTTTGTTATCACAAACCTTTGGGAGATAGAAAGAAGTTGTGGGAGGAAATTCAGACTTAATGACTTCTCCTTCTTTCAGGTGCCAAACAGTAATGACATTAGCAGTTTGTGGAGTTTTGAATGAATAATCAATATCATGTTGGACAGAATAAGCTTGAAACCAATCAAAGAAAGGAATGTTTAACTTTACTTTGTTAAGAAAGTTATAAAATTCTTCTTGGATTAGTTGTCTTTTAATTCCCTTATAATTTTGGAAGAACCATTCTTTTTGAGGAGACCGATCCTCAGAATTAAAGTCTTTCCTAAGGGTTTCCTTATCTATAATGAACTTAGATAACATCATAAGAATTATGCATAGAGGAATAGGTTGGAGATTGAATAGATTTTGGGGATTGGATAATATTTTGTTCATTTTCTTCTTCTTTTTGGGTATATGAAGGTTTAGGAATAGAAGAAGAGGTGTCCAAACCTTGGAGATGGAGATTGAACCTACTAGGTTCAGAGATTGTAGAGAAAGATCTCCTTGAAAGAGCTGATTGAAAATCTTCAGAACGAAAATCTTGAGTTTGAACAGACCTGGAAGAACTTGCAGAACTGAAAGAGTTTCTTCTATCGAAGATGATTTCAACAGCACCACTTGGGAACTGCTTGATTTCTCTGAAATTTGGAGTATCTCTAGGTTGAGCAGGTGTTGCCTTCTCAAGTCTCCATTTTTCTGGTAGGACTACGTCAGACCAACGGATAGTTCTGGGTACAGTGACATTTGCTCTAGACATGTCAGTAAGGAACGAAGTAGTTTCCCCAGCTTTCTTGGGTTTAAGAACCCTAGAGATGGAAGAATTCAATACTTTATATTGAATCCTAAAAAGAAAAGCTGCTGGAATAGATCCTGTTTTCATGTCCAGACCACTTGTCTCAACGTTCAATGTTAAGACATCCAAGATATTTTTATCTTGAAGACTAACCATACGATCAGGATAACAATTGAAAAAGATTGGTCCATTGCTTAGGCTTGTTTCAACAGTTCCAAGTATAGAATCTGTAAATTTGTTATGCCTTGTATCACGAAGGCATAGAAGAACATAAGCATTTAGACCTTCAATTCCAAGAGGTTTAATAGCCACTTGGACACATCCAATGTGCAAATAGTTATAACTCTGTTTATGAGTTTGTATAGATGATTTTGACAGGAGTTGAAATTCTTCAAATTCATTATTTAAAGGGATATTTCTTTCAACTATTATGATGATATAGTCAGATTTCCGAAAGAAGTTTCCTTCGGGTTTGTACAGTTCATTAGTTGGAATTCTGGGAATTTCCCAGTTATCCAGATATTGATTGATATCTTCAAAAGAGATTTCTTTTTTAAAAATATTTTTTGTTTGATTTTTAACTTGATCTTTATGGATGGAAGAAGAAGATGGCTGAGATGATTTGAAAGAGAGCTTAGAGGAGAAAGATTTAAACATGATAATAAGACAGATGTATTTCCCAGATATCATCACCATCATTTGGATCCATAGTAATACAGAGATAGATGTAAATTAACTTTTATCAACTGAGCATTAGATTAAGACTTTAACGTAAATAAACAACAGATTGTCAGAGATCTTCTTTATCCCTTGTTCAACATCGGCAAATTTGACTTACTGCCCTTCATATGGGACTTACTGCAACAGCTGAACAAGTTCTCAAGACTTTCATTTCTCATCCTACAATCATACATGCTTCTAACACATGATAAAATGTTAACAAAAGGCTCAGATAAATAACAGATAATTTAGATCTATCCATATATTCCTACTTCCCCATCACGATTTCAACTTCATTTCCTGCTTTCCCCATCACCATATGAAGGGCAGTAAGTCAAATTTGCCGATGTTGAACAAGGGATCAAGAAGATCTCTGACAATCTGTTGTTTATTTACGTTAAAGTCTTAATCTAATGCTCAGTTGATAAAAGTTAATTTACATCTATCTCTGTATTACTATGGATCCAAATGATGATGATGATATCTGGGAAATACATCTGTCTTATTATCATGTAAATATATATATAGGGAACAGATCCACTTACCACCAAAAATATTTACAACCTTTACAACCAACGTAATCACCGTTGATTTCCGTCAATCTAACGGTTATCATTTATTAGAAATTATTTGGTCGCATTTATTAATTTCAAAAAATGATAGCCGTTAGATTGACGGAAATCAACGGTGATTACGTTGGTTGTAAACATTTTTGGTGGTAAGTGGATCCATTCCCATATATATATATATATATATATATATATATATATATATATGGCAAGTATTTAATTGCTGTACGTACAGCCGCTGCAGAAATGTATATCCCATATATATATATATGAGTTCGCTTTTTCTACAGTCAAAGTAGATAACTTATCTACATTGAGTCCAAAACGACGTCGTTTTGAGGCGGAAATCAAGGTATTTTTGTAATTATAATTTATTTCAAGGTTATAACAGTCTTTTTCATCATATTTTTTTAATTTTTCAACCTAAAACGACGTCGTTTTGGGAGCGAATGTAGATAACTTATCTGTATATATATATATATATATATATATATATATATATATATATATATATATATATACAGATAAGTTATCTACATTCGCGTTATCTACATTCGTTCCTAAAACGACGTCGTTTTGGATTGAAAAATTAAAAATTTATAATAAAAAAGACTATTATAACCCTAAAATAAATTATAATTGCAAAAATACCTTGATTTTCGTCTCAAAACGATGTCGTTTTGAGCTCACTGTAGATAAGTTATCTACATTGACTGTAGAAAAAGCGAACCCATATATATATATAAATGAAAAATATTTTTCATATTATAGGAGAATTAATTTTTTCTAATAGCGACCCTTCAATTTTCGTCTAACATTTTCTTTTTCTTTTTTGTTTTTTGAATAGATTTGAGCTCCATGCATTTATCCCAAATTCAACAACATCAACATCAACATCAACAACACATTTATCCCAAATTAATTGGGGTCGGTGGTAGATGAACTCAAATAAAAGATACAAAAAAGTTGAAAAATAAACATAAAAAAAATAAAAAAAAAATAAAAAAATAGAATTTCTCCCGTTACGTAAGAAAATTGTTACCCATATATATATAAATATATATATATATATATATATATATATATATATATATATATATATATATATATATATATATGTTCTTTTTTTTTTTTTTTTTTTGATAACATACACCAGTGTAAGACTAACAAGTCTTACACCACATCTCAACCGTTGATGGACATAAATCATCGGTTGGTATTTGTAGTGTAATTAATGATTAATTAATATCAATTAATTTATATGAATTTCTAAATTATAAACGTTGGATGCTCGGAAATCAATTGTTGAGATGCGGTGTAAGACTTATTAATCTTACACCGGTGTAAAATGATCTTGATCCATATATATAAGGCTTATCATTTCTCAAGCTGCTTGAGATAATTTTCTCTATGGCTACTAAATCATAATCGTATAAAGATGGATCAATGGTGATAAAGGAAGAGAGAGAAAAAGAGAATCATAACCATTCAAAGGTGAATCAATTAATATAAGGAAATAAATAAACAAAATGACGTAGTTTTGGGGTGGCCGAAGATAAACTTATCTCAAGTTGCCAGAGAAATATTTTTCCCATATATATATATAGGGGTTTGAGTTTCTCATATTGCATGAAAATTGAATTCTCATGGTGTGACTCAACTAGTGGTGGGCCCCACATTTATTAAAAGGAGAAAAAGAAAAGAAAAGCTTTGCACGCAAATCGCAGGGTCACAACATGAGAATTGAATTCTCATGCAACACGAGAAAATATTTATATATATATATATATATATATATATATATAGAGGCAGGATCCTTTGACACCGGTGTCAAATTTCAAATTTGACACCTCATCTGAGAGCCGTTAGATCAAAAAAGATCAATGGCTCTGATTTGTAAGCATGTGACACCGTTAATCTTTTTTGATCTAACGGCTCTCAGATGAGGTGTCAAATTTCAAATTTGACACCGGTGTTAAAGGATCTTACATTATATATATATATATATATATATATATATATATATATATGTATGGGGTAGAATCATTTTACACCAGTGTAAGTTACACTCTTAATATTGTCCGTTGATTCCACTTATATCTAAGGGCTTTAATTTTTTTTTTATTAATGTGAGCCATTGGATCAACTACGTCGTTTTATTTATTTATTTACTTATATTAATTGATTCACCTTTGAATGATTATGATTTCCTTTTTCTCTCTCTTCTTTTGTCATCGTTGATCCATCTTTGTATGGTTGTGATTTAGTAGTCGGAGATAAGATTATCTCAAGCAGCTTGAGAAACGATGAAACGATAAGCCCTATATATATAGAGGTAGGATCCTTTGACACCGGTGTCAAATTTGAAGTTTGACACCTCATCTGAGAGTCCTTGGATCTAAAAAGATCAACGACTCTGATTTGTGAGCATATGACAACATTGATCTTTTTTGATCTAACGGCTCTCAGATGAGGTGTCAAATTTCAAATTTGACACTGGTGTCAAAAGATCCTACCTCATATATATATATATATATATATATATATATATATATATATGGGAGAGAGATCATTTGACTCTAGAGTAAAAGTCTTACTCTCCATTCTAACCATTGATTTCCTCCATCTAACGTTATAATTTAGAAAGTTATATTAATTAATTAATTATTAATTACACTATGAATAACAACCGTTGATTTCTATCCATCAACAACTGTGATAGAGAGTAAGACTTAAAACTCTTACTCTAAAATCAAAAGAATCCTCCCTATATATATATATATATATATATATATATATATATATATATTCTCCATAAATTTTCACTTCTCTCGTTCAAACAAAGTACAAAAAGTCTAGAAGATTAAAACATCACAATCCCACAAATTATGGGTTGTAATGGTTGACTTGTCTTCGGGAATTTGCGGTGTCCAAGAGTTCAAGTAGCCGCCCACAGAATCAAAATTCACACTTTTCATAGATAAGATTCATTCAGATCCTAATCATCAGATTTCCCATAAACATATTTTACCAATCAGATTCAACCCTATCATCGACAGCTAATAATTTCACAATATTTATACTTAACCATTTATTTTAATCACCCATGACGTGGATCAATTGGTAAAATGTTAATTTAGTTTAATCAATAATTTCAACTTTAAATTCCGAATATGTAATTATGTTAAAAATTTAATAAAAGAGTTTTGTCACTCTTAAAATCTTATCTGATTCTAAGCCATTAGATTCAGAGAGATTTAGCTAAGTTGCATATGTATTTAATTTTCAAAAAAAAAAAAAAAATCTTATCTAGTTCCATTGGATCAATCGACTGGTAAAGGAATTTAAAAAAAAAAATTCATTTCTTTCCCCACAAATATTTAAGAAAAAAATGTTTGTCATTTCACTCTTAAAATAATATAACTTATGTCATTTAAAATGACAAACACCAAACCTAATATTTAAAGAAAAAAATTATTTTCTATCGGAGAATAACTCTTTTTTCTACACACTATCAATTATTGTGTAGCTTAATTTTTATTTTTTATGAGGGAGTGAAACTTGTCTATTATTATATCTATGGCAGGAGATAATCACTTTCTTACAACATGAAATTAATAAAATTTATATTTAAATAACATTAGCGGAACAAAAATTAAATATATTGATTTAAAATTTGCTTATATTTATATTATTATTTCGATCTTTTTAAAGGAAATATTGGTTTTGAGGACATTTTTCCCTTATTTCATCGTAACCATTGACTGCAGATCGTACGGCTGAGACTGTTTTGTCTCTCGACGCAAATTGCAGAGGAGGCGCGGCATTTACTCTAATAAAAGAAAAAAAGGGGAAAGCCAAGTGCTCTTTGCTTCTCTTCACTCTCTGCAACGGTGTCGTTCTCTTCTTCTTCGCTTAGTTCGGTTCGTGCTTTTTGGGGGGGCAAAACGCGTTTCAGCTGTTGCCGTTTTCTGCAAATTCAGATAGGGTTTCGCTTGAGCTTTGATCTCTCTCCCCATCTCGCCGTTCCTTTCTTTGGATTCTTATATCGAATTGCTGCATCTGAATTCTCGGTTTCGAAGGGAGTAGAAGTAAGGGCTTTTTTTGAGTTTCGTTGAGCGCGCTGCTGGTGCTGTTTTCAGTTACTGGCTGGTAATTGTTTTGGGTCTTTGGGTTCCATTTGAAATCAACTTGTGTAGTCGAAGCTGTGTAATTACACCACTTATTATTGTTGTCGTTGTTGTTGTTATTAGTTTTATTATCTTAATTATTGTATTTGAGCAAAAGGGGCTTTAGCTTTAAATTTCTTGTGTTACTTTTGAAGTTTTTTTTTTTTTTTTTTTCAGTTTAATTAATTTTCATGACAGTAATTCCCGTTTACCTCGTATCTGGGAGGCTAATTTTGTAGTAGGGTTCAAAGAAATGAAGAGTACCATATTGAATTTTAGTTGTTTTATTTTCTTCTGTTATGGGCATCTCTGAACAGTTATCCTGAACTGCACCACGCCGTTAGGGTTGGTGGGACAAGCTGATTTGGTGATTTTCTTCCATGGTTGGCACTGGATGTGGACATAACTTGAAGCTTTTGGTTAATTAAATCATTGAGCATTGTTATGGCCAAGAGTAGGCTTTCTGGTGGTTATTTTGGCAATGCACTAGATACTGCTGGTGAATCAGAGGGATCTGGTACCTCAGGAAGAATGGACACCGAAATTACTGTTTCGGAGGACTCTAGTATCCCCACCAGGAAATGTATTAGTTTGAATTCAAGCCGCCGTGACCGAATTGGTGTTCCCATGCAAGTTCTCCCCTTGTCAAATTTGTCACCTTTTCAAAGAAAAGATCTGGTAAGTCGGTTAAGATCCGAGCTTGAACAGATTCGGTTGGTTCAAAAGAAAGTTGAACTACAAAGAACGAATGGTGTTACATTGTCGTCCTCCAGTGATATTCTTAGCTGTAGTAATGGCAATAATGGGCATCGAGTGGAGAATTCGAGAAAACCATCCATATCCAATTCTGTCCCAGAGAATAAATTGAAACCATTAGGTAAGAGTCAAAAACCTCGTGGATGGAACCGTGGCACTTCTGGAAAATTTGAGTCTGCAACAAGGACTTCTTCACCAAGCACTGTGAATACTTTGTTGATGAAAGATTGTGACTCACTCTTGAAAAGATTGATGAATCACCAGTATGCTTGGGTTTTCAATACCCCTGTAGATGTGGTGAAGTTGAATCTTCATGACTATTTCAGTATCATTAAGCATCCTATGGATTTGGGTACAATAAAAAACAAGATAGTTGCAGGAGCATACACAGGCCCATTGGAATTTGTTCATGATGTGAGGCTTACATTTTCAAATGCAATGACCTATAATCCACGCGGGAATGATGTCCATTTAATGGCTGATACCCTTAGCAAATATTTTGAAGTGAGATGGAAAACAATTGACAAGAAACTGCCAAGAACTGATGTTCTACCTTTGCCTGCGAAGCCAGATACTTGTGAAGATGTGGAAAGTACTAGACCAATGCCTCCTTCAAAAAAGAGGAAATTTGCCTTATTGCCACCACAACCGGAAGTTATGCTACCTGCTAAGAAGGTTATGTCGGATCAAGAGAAGCTTAATCTAGGCAGAGAATTGGAGTCTTTAATGGGAGAAATGCCTGTCCATATCATTGATTTCTTAAAAGAACATAGTTCAAATGGTAGGGAATGCGGAGAGGATGAGATTGAGATTGATATTGATGATCTCAGTGATGATACACTGTTCACATTGCGAAAGCTTTTGGATGATTTTTTGCAAGAGAAGCAAAAGAACAAAGCAAAAGTTGAAGCGTGTGAAATAGAGGTACCTCCCAGCTACTTAAACCTTTCATAAATTAAGCTAGTATCACATTTTGTCTAAAGTATACTCATCCCTTTCCACAATGAGATGCCAGTCTTAAAATACATATGATTTTACTTCCCTTTATCTATTTTTCTGTTGCAGGTGTTGAATGATTCTGGACCAAGCAATTCCTCATTGCAACCATTTAAAGGTGATGTGTGTTTGTGTTTGTGAGCAGGTTTGAATGCATGCTCTATTTGTTTTTTTATTTAAATTTGTTCCACTTGTAGGTAATGATCCAGCTGATGAAGAGGTTGACATTGGTGGAAATGAGCCCCCTGTCTCAAGCTATCCTCATGTGCAGATTGAAAAGGATACAACTTCCAGAATAAACAAATGTCTCAGTCCAGGCAGCTCCAACGGTAAATGAGATTTGGATTTCTCTATGATGCTTTTGAATACTTTGAGTAATCTGTGACTGTGGGTCTTTATGTGAAGAGTCATATAAATGCGGGAAAATATCTTATTTTTTAATTCAGTTTTTCCCCAGATCTAGCTTATTAGAAGGTGTCAGTGTGATAAGAATCATTCGTAATTTTATAATTTTGCTGTGAATTCATGGGATAATCAATGTAGCTTTGTTTCTTAGTAACTGCTGTAGCGGGTATCAATGCATCAGAGCATTATAGGTATTTTGGGATTAAAGTTAGGTAGAACGTGCAGCTGTTCTTATAGGGTACATGCCAGCAATCATAGAGCATAGTTATTAAATACGGGTAGCGGCAGGAAGCAGCAGACCCTTGAAAATGCTATAGCACCATTGAGGGTAGCGGTAGCGCAATAGTGGAGTCCTATACATGAACCTGTTATATAGATATACAACACATATAAGTGCTAAAAAAGAAGGGCTTAAATTCTCTTTTGCGTCAGAAATGTTTTCAACTCTCCTACTGACACTTTGAAGTGTGTTTGTTTTTTTTCTTTTTTTATAAAGAATGGACCCCACCGTTTTTCTATCAACAGGAAAATCAACGGTCTCTCCTATTAAAGGAGAGACATAAAACCCAAAAAATAAACTCTAAACCGTAATTAAATATATTATCTTTCCAAATAAGGATTCTAAATACTGTTGTCAATTAAAAGGATCCAAACATTGTCAATTGAAAGGATCTAAATATTGTCAATTACAATATTTCATATTAAAATTCTCAAAAAGAACTAATTGGAATCTTCACTTTCACCATCTCAAAAAGGATCATGCATCTAACGAGAGTTAACCACCTTTAGCAGGAGAACTGTATCTAAATGATTGACTATACCTCACCAAAAGAAAAAAAATAATCTAAGCAAGCAATGCAAGGAAGCCAGAGAGATAGTAACTCGGTTATGCTAACAGCATCATGAAAAAAATCATATAGCATGATAACAAAATAACACAGAAGAAAAAAATGTTTCTCGATGAAGTGAGTGTAAGAGTGAGTTAATAAGTTAAAAGGGTGTTTTTGGTTACAAAAACCAAAAGAGAAAAGGTGAGTTAAAAACCAAAAACAAAAATTAGTGTAACCAAAAACAAGAGAACAGAACAGAGAGTTAATAAATTAAACGTGTTTCTGGTTAAGATTAATAAGTTAAATGGTGTAAGTGTAACCAAAAAAAAAAAAAAAAAAATTAAAATAGAAGGGAACAGATAATGAGAGAACACAGGGACAAGTGAGAACAGAGAGAGAAGGTCACTGGTTGCCGTCGAACGTCTCTGCTCGCCGTCGCTGCTCGCTAGTCGTCATCACTGGTCACTGGTTGCAAATGAGGGAGAAAGGGAGTCAAGAAGAAATCTTGACCAAAGTTGTGAAGATCGAGATCTTACCGACGATCGGAAAGGGAAAATATCGTAAATTGTGGGATTGACATGGATCATAAGATCTTACATTCCTAATTTTAATTATAAAGTAATATTTTAAGTGAGAGAGTCTCATACTTTAAGTATTATATTAAGCTTTTTTATTTAAAGTAAAACATGATATATCACTTAATCCTTAATGGATAATTTTGAATTTTCTGGTTAGTAAAATAAAAAAATAATATTCTTCCATTGTAATAATTTTATTATTTTTGATATGCCATTATTATATAGTTGAACTTAAGTTAATATTATTATAAAATACGGTAGTTATAGTGGATTCTATAAAAAATAATAATTGAAGGGTAGGTAGTGAGTCTAGTGACCATCACAATGCTAGTGAATATTAAGGTACATTTATAATATCATTTCTTTATTTTTTATTTTTAAATATTTAAATGAATAAAATACAGCTTTTTATGTCTATCTTAAAAGTAAAGGTTGAAGCGTACTAAGTTAGAATATGGTCCACTATGACATATGACTAAGAGAACCAATAAAACAAAATTAAAAAGAAAAAGGATATGACCAGACCAAGTTTCAACCACAAATTGTAGTCATAGTCTAGAAGTAGAAGCAGAGGCAAAGAGAAACCTCAATGGAGGTCGGTGGGTGCCGGAGGGAAGATGGTGATGGAACTGGTGTGAGCTATGTTCAAGTCCCTGAAGCTCTCCTTTCCATCCCCATCTTGCAAAGTTCCCTCTTTCCTCGTGATAGTTCTTCACTTTCCAAGGCCTTATCTGTGTTTATTTTTCTCTCTGATCTCCAGTCTCCAGATTTCAACTGTGGGGCTCTTTTCGCAATCGTTAGAATGGTGGGATGTTGGATCCCACCGATTGAACAATTTTACTCGTCGATCTCACACAATCTTAGTGGAGGGCGATCTCACCTGCGATTTGGATCGCTAGGATGAAAAAAATTGTAGGATCGTATGATCCTACGATCTTAAAACGTGATCTTGACAACAATGGTCTCGACTAAGGGGAGAGGGTGGGTTTAGATACATTAAGGGTTAAAAGACTAAAAAGCCCTTGAAGTATGACTACTACAAATTTAAAGTGAGGGCAATTATGGAAACTTGTCCCCTTTCACTATAACGGCTTATTGCAATGCGATTTTCTGCAAAAGCAGCTGTTACGGCTGGTACCCTGAAAAGACGCATTGTATGGAGCCGCAACGCGCTATTGTACCGCTATAGCATGCTATTGATTACCCTGAAGTTGTGGATCTACTTTCTGAAAACATGTCAAATTATACTCTTTTTGTGCCCGTGCCTAGTTATATGGTTTCTGAGGCTGAAATTCTTTCACACGAGTATTTTAATGAGCTGTGTCTGTTTAATGATAAGAAATGCTTTCTTAAATTTGTTTCGGAAAAAACAAAAAAATGGATTTCATGGTAAAATGTTTCCAATTTATGAACAAATAACCACTGAAATCATTAACTATATTCAAAGAGTGGTTGATGAGTAACCACTTATTGACTAAATTAACCACTTGTGTGGTTTCTTGTTCTTAAACTGGAAATGTTTTTATAGTAAGAATTCCATTTTTGTACTTTTCCTTTTGTTTAAAAAAAAATAGTTGCAATAAAAAAAAAATTCATATAGTTATTAGTTATCATTATGTTATTATGTTGAATATCTATTTCTGCTTGAAGTTCTGCTTTGCCTGTTTACAAATCTATCTTTCTATTTTCATTCTTGTCCTGAATTGTACAATATATACAAGAGGATCAAGCTATCCTTCAATTTCATATTCAGTTGTCTCTTTAGTTATTATCATATCTTTAGAAAATATTGTCCGAAGCATTGGGGGATATTGAAACAAGGTATTGTATTTATATAGTTAAGCTGTATCTAGCCAAGGTAAGACATATTAGCTCCGTATACCAAATGTATCAGCCAGTAAAAATTAAAAAAAAGAAAAAGAAAACAGAGGATATTCCGTGGATACATATCTAGGTGTATTGTACGTGTATCAGTGATAGATATGTGTATGACACCAACACTTTGCCAATTTCGGAGTATTTGGGCTTCACAAGTTAGGTCTTACCAGGATTGTTATCTTAAGTCGTCACATTTCTTCTATATGGTTGAATTGAACTTTAGTAATCTTATTTAGGAAGAGGAAGTCGTGCTAGTCTGTAGTTTTTCTATAAAATGTACCAGTTGATAGTATTGCAAGATGCGTGCCTGAGCATAGTAGACGTATATCCTCTTTCATTATATGTGTTAGAAATAATATTAATTTATTTATTATTATTAGAATAGTCTAGATTGTGGGCTTGGCCCATTAGGTCATTCCGTTAGGTCTTTTAGTCTCTATAAATAGAGAGCCTCCTTGTACAGACTTACACACTTGAATATACAATATATTTCAGATTCAATTTGGTATCAGAGCTCTCGATCTGAGGGCTCTGCCTCCGCATATATATCTTTTCCTTTCTTTTTACTGCCGTGCATCATACCGGCAACCATCCTTTCACACCTAACCCTTATTTAGTCACAAATTTTTTGTCCTCAACCTCGTATCATCAGGAAAAAGATCGTCAGCCTCCGTTCATCGCCGGAAACCGCCAGAAAACCACCGTCCGCCACTGTTCACTGCCGTCAGACTGCTTTTCCGGCGACTTTTCTGACCAACCACCACGCGATCAGGAGCGGCTCAGGGAGGCGACCCTGTCTGTCCAAGCCGCGTGTTGATCGGAGCATCCACGCGCCGCCACGCGCCGGTGGAAGTCTCCGGCGGCCGAACCACTGTTCCGGCGCGTGAGCCACCGTCCGGCCACCGTTCCAGGCCGGACCACCACCATCTTGCTCGCCACCTCACCCTCTTTCCAGATCTGGTCTCCGTTCGTTGTGGGTCCCATCCGTTTGAAAGATATCAGTGAAAAACCCGCTGTTTGGACACTTTTGTGCAACGTTTTTGTGCGATTTCTTGCTTTCTTGTAGTTCTTTTCTATTTTCTGGTCATCTCCTTTTATTTTGTGATGGAGGGCTCAAATAATGCCTCCAAAAACACGACTGGCATCATCTCCGGTACTACCCCATCTCCATTCTTTTCTCGGGCCCGTGATTCCAATTGGAACAGTGGACGCGGTCGTAGACGTGGCCGCAGACAAAGGCCTCGTTGCAATTATTGCCAGAATCTTGGGCATTTTGAAGAACGCTGCTATAGGAAGTACCCTCATTTGAAGCCACCGACTGCCTACTTTGCTCAAACTGATGTTACGCCACCTTCAACTCGATTAGTAACTCTTTCAAGTGCCGACTATGAGGCACTTCTCAAGAAGGTTTCTTCTCAGCATCCTACTCAAGACACTGGTAATCATGTTGTTTGTTTTTATCAATCATCTCTTGGACCCTGGATAATAGACTCAGGTGCTACTCATCATATTTGTGGTAATAAAGATCTCTTCACTTCACTTTCTTATTCTAATAACCTACCCCCTGTCACTCTTGCTGATGGCACTAAGGCTCCTGCTCGTGGAATTGGGGAAGCCAAACCAACTCCTCTTTTAACTTTGAGTTCAGTTTATTATATACCTGGCATTCCTTTTAATTTAATCTCTGTTAGCCAGTTGATTCATTCTCTTTCATGTACTATTACCTTCTCTAAACAATCCTTTTCTATGCAGGATTCGGGTACGGGGAAGACGATTGGAGCAGGGGTTGAGTCACGAGGTCTCTACTATCTGATTGCACCACCTTCTCCAGTAGCTTGTTCTCTCACAGAGTCTCCTGAGCTAATTCACAGCCGTCTGGGTCATCCAAACCTCTCCAAGCTTCAGCATATGGTTCCCTTTTTATCCAATCTTAAGTCTTTAAACTGTCATTCTTGTCAGCAAGGAAAACACACTCGCTCCTCCTTTGCTAATAGAGTCAATAAAAGAGCTGATGCTCCTTTTTCTATTGTTCATTTTGATATTTGGGGTCCGAGTCGAACAACGTCTGTTTTGGGTTTTCAGTATTTTGTCACCTTTATTGATGATTTCTCCCGTTGCACTTGGGTTTATTTAATGAAAAATCGTTCTGAGTTATTTTCAATTTATCAAAAGTTTTGTGCAGAAATAAAAACTCAATTTGGTGCTTCTATTCAAATCTTGCGCAGTGATAATGCAAAAGAGTATGTGTCTCTTGAATTTTCTAAATTTCTGGATACACAAGGGACGATACACCAGACTACCTGTCCTCACACTCCACAACAAAATGGAGTCGCTGAACGTAAAAATAGACATCTAGTTGAAACTGCACGTACCCTTCTCATTCATATGAACGTCCCACTCCGTTTTTGGGCATATGCTATTATCACCTCATGTTTCCTTATCAACCGCATGCCCTCTTCTGTGCTAAACAATGATGTTCCCCACAGTATTTTGTTTTCCGGAGCACCTTATCCTCTGCCTTTACATATTTTTGGCTGTACTTGTTTTGTTCATGATCTTACTCCAGGTAAAGACAAGTTGACATCCAAGGCCTTCAAGTGTGTTTTCCTTGGGTATACACGTTTTCAAAAAGGGTATCGTTGCTATTCTCCTGATCTCAAGCGTTATATCGTTTCTGCTGATGTCACTTTCCTTGATCAGCAGCCTTTTCACTCTACTCCGTCTTCAGTGTCCCAAGTTGATCAGGTCCTCCCTGTTCCTTTTCTTGACTTGTCTTTACCAGCTGCAGGTGACCCTATTCCAGAGGAGCAACCAATTACCTCCATATCTGCAGATCGTCCTCTCCTCACATACCAGCGTCGTCAGCCTGCACCTCCTCCGACTTTGCCTCTTGATGACTCATCGCCCTTTCCCGTCGGCTCTTCTCCTCCGGATCCTCCATCAGAGACTCCTCCCATTGCCCTTCGGAAAGGTATTCGATCCACTCGAAATCCTCATCCCCTTTATTCTTTCTTGAGTTATGACAGACTTTCTTCACAACATTTTACTTTTGTTTCTAGTCTCTCTTCTGTTTCCATCCCTAAAACCACAGGTGAAGCACTATCTCATCCAGGGTGGCGCCAGGCGATGCTTGATGAAATGCAGGCACTTCACTCCAATGGCACTTGGGATCTTGTTCGTGCTCCTCCCGGGAAGTCTGTTGTTGGTTGTCGATGGGTGTTCACAGTTAAAGTTGGTCCTGATGGCACTGTTGATCGCCTTAAAGCTCGCTTAGTGGCCAAGGGATACACACAGATCTTTGGTCTTGATTATGGGGATACCTTTTCTCCTGTTGCTAAGATGGCTTCTGTTCGCCTGTTTCTTGCCCTTGCCGCCATTCATCACTGGCCCCTTCTCCAACTTGATATTAAGAATGCTTTTCTACATGGTGACTTGCAGGAGGAAGTTTATATGGAGCAACCACCAGGTTTTGTTGCTCAGGGGGAGAGTTCTGGAATGATATGTAAACTTCGGAAATCTTTATATGGCCTGAAGCAATCTCCTCGGGCCTGGTTTAGCCGCTTTAGTTCAGTTGTTGAATCCTTTGGCTTAATCAGAAGCAAAGCCGATCATTCTGTCTTTTATCGGCATAGCTCTTCTGGCCAGTGTGTTTATCTCCTGGTCTATGTTGATGACATTATCATTACAGGCAGTGATCAGACTGGGATTGATCAGTTGAAAGAGCATTTATTCAATCAATTTCAGACCAAAGATCTTGGCAGACTTCGATATTTCTTGGGGATCGAAGTTGCACAGTCTAGGCGGGGCATTTCCATCTGTCAGAGGAAGTATGCACTGGATATCCTAGATGAGACTGGCATGTTAGGCTGTAAACCCATTGATACACCTATGGACCCCAATGTTAAGTTATTACCAGGACAGGGGGAGCCACTGCCAGATCCTAGTCGCTACCGCCGATTAGTTGGAAAATTGAATTATCTTACTATGACAAGGCCAGATATCTCCTTCGCAGTGAGTGTTGCAAGTCAATTTCTTGATTCTCCCTGTGACTCCCATTGTGATGCAGTTATTAGAATTCTCCGATATATTAAAAAGGCGCCAGGAAGAGGTTTATTATATACAAATAAAGGGAGTTCAGAGATCTCTAGTTATTCAGATGCTGACTGGGCAGGTTCTCCTTCAGATAGACGATCCACCTCAGGGTATTGTGTTCTCTTCGGAGGAAATTTGATCTCTTGGAAGAGTAAGAAGCAAACTGTGGTCGCCAGATCCAGTGCGGAGGCAGAATATCGGGCAATGGCAAATGCAACCTGTGAGCTCATCTGGCTGAGTCAATTGCTGAAGGAACTCCATCTCTGTGAACAAAGGCCTATGAAGCTCATTTATGACAACCAAGCCGCTTTGCATATATCCTCTAACCCAGTCTTTCATGAGAGGACCAAGCATATAGAAATTGACTGTCATTTTGTTAGAGAAAAGATCCAGTCAAGGGAGATCGAGACAGCATTTGTCAATTCTAATGATCAACTTGCGGATGTATTCACTAAAGCTCTTAGAGGTCCTCGAATAGATCATATTTGTAACAAGCTGGGAGCTTTTGATATATACGCACCAGCTTGAGGGGGAGTGTTAGAAATAATATTAATTTATTTATTATTATTAGAATAGTCTAGAATAGTCTAGATTGTGGGCTTGGCCCATTAGGTCATTCCGTTAGGTCTTTTAGTCTCTATAAATAGAGAGCCTCCTTGTACAGACTTACACACTTGAATATACAATATATTTCAGATTCAATTATATGCATATGGATTATGTCAATTTTCAGAAAAATAATGATGAATTTCATGATCAGGTTCATGATATATGACAATAGTTAACAAAATATTTAATAGATCATAGGTTTGCCACTAACTGTTCATAGCATTTTAAATTACATTTTCTTTTTGCATATACGTAACATTTATGTTTTTTATAAGAGTATGGCTCTTACCTTCATCAATAGTCTTCTCTGGGTTGCATGTGCTGTTACTTTGATGTTTGAGGTCCATGGTATTTTCTAGGAACGATTTTCCTGTGTTTCATTTTGATGTTCAATTGGAAAGCTTTTTATGTTAATTAGTGGCTATATCTAATGTCTGTATTGCAGATAAGGACTCTAGTAGTTCTTCTGATAGTGAATCTGATGATGTTAAAGCAAGTCCAGCAAATGTAGCAAAGGTCTGGTTTGAATAATAAGTGAAAATTTGATTTCATAATTGCTTAATTTTGAATGTTAAGACTATGATTGTTTAATTGCTGATGCTGTTTTGAACCCTGCCTATGGATCTTTGCTACATAATATAATTAGTCAACTGGGCTCTTCTTCAGGTACCTGAAAATCTGAGTTCTGAAGCTCAGTTAGATGAAAAGACCAGGGCAGCTGATACTCTTGAAAGAAATCGTGAGTAATTGTTCTTTGTTTGTCATTTTGTGCCACTTAAAAGGTGATAGAGTATGATCTGCAGTTTGGAAAAGAGTGCCATCTGTGCAAAAACTTGAATACTCCCTCGTATTTTTTGTCTCCTGTTTGTGTTGTATGGTTTCATATTCTTCATGGCTTCTTATCTTCTCTGTAATATAATTATGAGTTGGATACTCTTCAGCGAATGTTATACAAACTGTGCTTTCTGGAATCCTGCTACTGCAAGATAATTTATATTTAGCATAGATCACAGTGCGGAAATTACCCTTGTTGAACCTTTTTTTTTTTAATTTTTTTTTTGAAGATCCATATTGATTATTGACGTTATAAATATAGCAGATTGTATAAATCTGCTCTGTTGTTGCTGTTAATTCTTATTGACAATTCCAAGGGAGTTTATTTGAATTATAAGTTTATCTTAAGGTAAATAATAGTGGAATTTGTTATGACATATGAAGACTGAACTTAATGTAAATGTTGTGAGCTAGCAGCATAAGTCAGTAATTAGGCCAGCACCTATATTTGCCCCTGTGCTATTACTCTGGTGACTTTCTGAGTAATCATGCTATTGGATTATGGGGAGGTGGCATTTGTAATTTGATAGCTTTAACTGAGATTGTTTAATTGGCTGAACCCTGGAGGAAATAGCTTCATTAGAGAAGGACCAAATAAAAGGTCAGATTAATTATGAAATATTATAATAATCCCAACATAAAATACCGGGATTGACTATTACTTAATAGGAATAAATGCTTGATTGTTGATGTGCTCTTCATATTGTTGTTGGGGGAAAATAATGCTGAATTTCGGAATTTTAAACCTAAATGGTATTTGAATTTCTGGATTCAAGGGCGTGATTTGCATTTGTCAAGACCAAACTCTCCATAATCCAGCAACATTGTTTTTTTTCTCTATGCATTTGTCAAACTTTATTGAAACGGAGCAGTATTCTTAGTAGTTTGAAAGAATATCCAATTGAAGTAGCAAAGGAAACAGAACTGTTTTGGTTGCTTCTTCTTCTTCTCTGTGATGTTGTAATTATGAGTATTAAAGTGCCTTGGAGCAGCGATAATGTTGCTCTTGGTGATTAGAAAATCATGGGTTTGAGTACGGGTAACAACCTTTTTGCATTTTTGCAAAAGTAAGGCTGCGTACAATTGACCCTCACCCCTTCCCTCATAAGTTGGAGAGCCTTGTGCATCGCGGGATTTGCCCCTTTTCATATAAGAATGATATAACGTGAAACCATCTATGTTCTCATTGAGACGTTCCAAACTTGGATTAGGGGGTTATTACAGTACTAATATTATTAATCTTGTGATAAACTTATCTGTACTTGCTAGCCTTGAATTCTTCTAGCTGTTCCTTTAATATTATCACAATTAAATTTCTTGGTCATTGCTAACTGTCTTTGACTCCTACCCTTTATTTCTTCCAGAATCTGTTAGTGGCTTAGATCAACTCGAGGATAACTGTAAGCATAAGCCAGGTTCTTTTGACTCTGATTGCCATCAAGATGGTAAGTGTGTGTGGTTTACGGAAGATATTGTTTTACTGTTATGTTGGATAACTACAAACAGATTATCTTATTAACGTTGTAGGGGACAGTGGTCCAACTGAGAGACAGGTCTCCCCTGGTAAACTTTATCGAGCTGCATTATTGAAGAATCGATTTGCTGATACTATCTTGAAAGCTCGAGAAAAGACACTCACACAAGTAAGTCAAATCATATATTTAAGATGCATGGAACTTACTCTGCTTGTATTATCCTTCTGATCATTGTTGAATCTGTACATGATTTGGTTCAATTTAATTTGGCTGATATCAGGTTGAGAAGGGAGATCCTGAGAAATTGCGCCGGGAAAGGGAGAAACTGGAGATGGAGCAAAGGAAAGGTGATTCGGGCATCATATTTATCTTCTATTATTTATCTTCTATTATAAGTGTTATGTACCCATTACTGATTGTTCAACTGAAGTGCTAACCAACCTATCTGTTGATTCAATTCTTTTGTCGAGCAGAAAAGGCAAGGCTACAAGCAGAAGCAAAGGCTGCTGAAGATGCTCGAAAGCGGGCAGAAGCAGAAGCTGCTGCAGAGGCCAGACGAAAGAGGGAGCTTGAGAGAGAAGCTGCACGACAAGCATTGCTACAGGTAAATAAGCAGTCTCTAGTTTGCTGAAATATGTTTGCTCTGGATTTTATTGGAGCATATACTGGCATCTGTGCAGATGGAAAAGACTGTTGAAATCAATGAGAATTCTCGATTTCTCGAAGATTTGGAAATGCTTAGAGCTGTACCTGCTGAGCAATTGCCAAGCTCTGTAGATGAGACTAGTCCTGATCATTCTCAGGATGGCCTGGGTAGTTTCAAATTTGGGAGTAGCAATCCCTTGGAACAACTGGGATTATACATGAAAGTTGACGATGAAGAGGACGAAGGAGAGCCACCCTGTGTTCCAAATCCTGTAAATGATGTAGAAGAGGGAGAGATTGATTAAGCAATGCACATTTTGGATGATCAATCAGAGGAGCAAAATACAATTAATTATCTTGATCACGAGAAAATTTCCCAAGCATTTTAGTTCCCATAATGCGTTGATACATCATGAATACTGAATAGGACGGAGCATATTTTCTTGTGGCTGCATGACAAGTTGGCAACATAGGATCGGTTTGAACAGAAACCAAGGTACATCAACCTTGTTTTTCCAATACGCTAGTGGTTATAGCATCGCGTCCCTTCGTCTAGATTAAGTTGTACAGAAGATAGGTGAAGTAGTCTTTGAATCTGTGAACGTTGAAGTAGGTCCATTTTCTAAATACTCGTGCTTGTATTTGCGTTTGGCTATTTTCTCTTACTATTAGAATTTTGTTTAAATTTTAAAGTCTGTTCCATCTTCAGAACGCTATAACCGTAATGAAATGAAATTTTAAAGTAATCTTCACTTCCGTCTCACAACTGTATTGCTAACATCTCTAAAATGTAATGAAATTTTCTTGACATGTTATCTTATTTGGACACCACAAATACATAGTTTAAGGAACTATCATCATATGCGTTGAAACCTCACCTTGAAGTGATTTTTCCTACAAAGGCCATCTGACCAAAACACATTTCACTTCGCATCATCCTCATAGTTATAGCATAATGAATGGTTCATCGCATGCTTTCGCCTATAAAAAAAAGTTAGACTTGATGCTCATATGTTGACAATTTGATCAAGGCTTTCAAATCCCTTGAATGATTTTGGAGATCATTTGTGTACATCCTTTGTTGTCACAAACTTCCAACTGCACTTTCAATAATTGATAAACTTTTGAAGGGCTCACATTTTCTCTTCATAGGATTATAGGAATACAATACATTCTTATGAACATTGCTTATGGTTGCTGACTTTATGAATTAACTTTCTAGTTGCGGCTAATCCATGTGTATGACATTCACAAAATCGTTCGACTTCATATTTTCATTCTGCTGTACTCTTCAAAAAGATCCACGCATTACATACTTCGCTTATTAAACTTTTTTCATCAAGGAGCAATTCAGCTTGTGCTATATTTTTTTTTTTTGCTGTGAAACCTTCTTTTGAATAAAGTCCACTTTGCACCATTTTTATATTTTGTTTTAGATGATTTTGTGTATACTAAAACCAGCAGCATGTGCATACCTATAAAAATTTTCTCTCTTTCGTCTAGGGTATTAAATACGTTGCCAATTGTTGGTTTCAATTCAAAATCACATATAGGAGGCTCCTCCAGTGTGCTCATTGGATCATTTAAGCCAATTGATGGTGTAGCTAGATTAACTTTATTATTACCAATCTCCATGAAAATACTCCTAATAAATAAAAAAAGGTCAATTGTATTAGTAAATTATAGTCAAGAAAATATATAAACAGAAAAAATAAGCTCAAAATATAAATGAATTGTATATTATATATTCAAAAGAAGATAATAAATGAAATAGTAAGTTAGCTAATTAGGAAAGTAGTTCCTAATCTAAATCTAAGGTTTGAGAATCGTTTTTTTTTTTCCGGGTAAAAAGAATCGCTTTTTTAAACTATCACGTAATAAGATTATTCTTCGTTCCAAGTCTCATGAAAAGCTAATGGTTATCTCACATCAAATAAATTAAACATAGGTAAAGAGAATTGATCTCACCAGTCTAAGACAGGATGAGCCAAATTACACATGATTGAAGGTTGAAGATTATGGGCCTTAGAACTATAGTGAGTTAGTCTGGAACTATGATGGAATGGACTTCTCCTTGGATTGGTTGTGTTGTGATTCTGGCGCAATGGAAGTGAGTGGGGGTACCTGTAAAGATACTCCGGCGCTCAAGTCAACATCAATGCGAGATGTATATAGTTTTAACTAGGAGATATGTACCTGGGATTGATCCCTCTGTATTTATAGTATGCTTTGTGCCGTCCTTTGTAGGTGGCATATTTTCTTATTGGTAATTTAGAGTGGCTGCCTTTATCACAGTTGTTATGTTGTAGGCTATTCCTTGATGAACAAGTCTAGATGTTAGCCAATTTTCGTAGAGTGGTGGCAAGCTGGAGCTGTCTCATCTACACTAGTTCTCATGCGCGGTGGACTTTATGGGATCTCTATGTCCTTTCTTAGTCCTTAAGTTTTGCATGGCGGCTTAGTATGATAGTTTGCGCAATGTGTCTATCCTGCGCAATAAGAGTAGTCTGCACGATGTGGACATTGCGCCCATCGCCTTGGCCTCATGGGCCTCTAATTATTGGGCCTATACGTTATCCGGATCAAGAAGGTTCGTGCTACTTCTATAAAAAGAATGATGAATTCTTAAAAATAAAGAAAATAAGTTCTTGCATAAAAGAAACAGAAATTAGAGCAACAACGTGCAATAACAAGAATGAACTCCACCATCAATCTCTATTCTTTTTTTTTTAGTTGAGAATTGGTGGGTAACCTATCATTTTTTTTTAAACTCTGTTTTCAGTTTGGATGCGGATTAAACTTGTAATTACATTTTAGGATTTAAAGATGTGATGATTTGATTGTGGTGAAAATTTGGCAATAAATTATCCTGCAACTCACGTGCATTGTAGAGTGATGGAATATTGAGACTTGTAAGCAACACTTACCACTATGTTACAAGGATTTTGATGTTAAAAGACAAATATTATTATATTATTGTATTATTATATATTTTTATATAAATTCAATTTAATCGGTTGAACTAGTAACCTAGCAATTAATTTCGTAATTTGGTTCTTGAATCTCATATCTTAAACGTGTCCAGGTGTAACGCCTTTTCCGGACCGGCGTATTAACCATACTTATGATATTAAGCTCAGTTATAATCATGGTAATTAAATTAAAATACGGTACACTTTTTCTTTTATAAATCACGTTTTCGTTTTAAAACAACTGTATTCAAAATAATTCCCTTAAAATGATCATAATCAAAATCCAAATACGGAATATATATTCTACTGCTTAAATATCACACAAAGAACATACAAAGAATGCTAAGTGGTTCCCATAAATCAACGAAGCAATGATACGTTATTACACGACGTACCAACCTTATATAGGTTCGGTTTTGTTAAAACTGCACTTAACATGTTATTAATTTTCCATATTCTAGTATGTTAAACTAGACATTACAAGTTTTCCAACGAGGTATCATAAGCTTAATTTGGATTTCTACAACTCCAGATATCTTTATCGTAAGTTTACTGCTCAAAACAGTCAACATACGTCAACAGCGAGAACTGCACTGCTTTAAAGCGTTGCATACTGCAGTAAAACCACTTAACTTTTTTCTCTCAATTTTGAATATGTTATAGTTGACATCTAGACCTTCAATTTGATATATTATAAGCATTGTTTCGATAAGAAACAAAGGAGTTATGAATTTTCTAAGTTAACAACTCTTGCCGTCAAATTCACTGCAACTAGGCAGCCAGCAAAATAGCAAAACTGCACCATGTTTTTACACTCATTGCTGTCCCATATTTTAGGATATTAAAGCTTACATCCTAAGCTTCAAAATGAAATCTCACACATCTCATTTAACAAAGAATTGAATGAGATATGAATTATCAAAGTCATACACACAACACTTACGTTTTATTATAAATTTTGACAACATCTAGAAATTTCTCAATTCCTCTTAGTTCTGAACACCTGATTGACACAATACTTATTCCATTTTAATCTCATCAAAAGATGGCTTCGTCCCATTTACTTTAAACTACCAAACCATATTTACTTGTGTCCGTTAATCTTTACAAAAAATTTACATAGGCAACATAGGCCTCTCAAAAATGCTGTTTCTACTAGTTATCACATCAAAACATATATACAGAGATCTCACAAAACATACATCCAAGCAACTAGCAGTCCAAACATAACTTTAGTCTTCAACAACTGGTCTTTTACCCTTATCTTATCTTTCACTTTGGAAATACCTGAAATATATCCCTATAACGTGGGGAGAGATAAACTCAATAAGCTCGGGGTTTATGGAGAAGTCTCCACCCACGAGTTCACTTCCTGCATTACATGTTAATTTCCAAATGCAGACATACATCATATATTCTCAGATAATACATTTAAGTCTTTTAATCTTTCTTACCTTTCATTAAATTAATACATATTAATTTACAAAATATAATTCTATTGTTTTTCTTAACAAACAAAACTTTCACAAAACATATTTCATAATTTCATTCTAGCAATTATATTCAACTAGAATTTACCTTTTTCACATAATCAGACTTCACATCAGAAATCAGAACTTACATCAGAATTATCCATATCAAAATTATTTAGAATACATCATTTCACAATCATCAAAACACATAAGAGCTTATTAGAACATATCAGAACACATCAGAATATCAAATATTTATGTTTTGTAGAAAAATCAGAATCAATTGAAAATCATATACTTTCATAATCATATTTATTCTCAGAAATTCCACAAGATCTATCCTTTTTATGGAAATTCTCCACTTGTACGACCAAATTATTAAATGGCCTCGTACTGGAATTCTCATATACATATTGTATATATTTATCACAATACTCTTATTTCAAATCACAATCCTTCATATAAGTGTATTATAGCTATACATCATTCTAATTTGTTATCAGATTCCTCACAATACAACAGTTTACCTGCTGGTAACAGAATCATCACAGTACTTAAAGCACCTCTAACACAGAATTTCAAACACAACTATAATCAAAGAACATATCAGCAAAATATATTAAATCACACAAATCATTTCAAATAACACATCAATCAATTTTCACAAACCACTACAACATGTAATTTACAAATTCAGGTTCAACATCATTCATTAGTGAAAGCGGAAAAACATGCATATTACATCTATTGACCTGTTATTCACAACAATCATACATAATGCACATGTTATCAATGCATCAATCATTTAGCATGTTAATCATAGCAAATCATACAATATCACATCGTTTCATCCATCAAACATAACATAGTTATTTATAGTAAATTAAATCAATTCATATAGAATCAGTATAATTAATCATCAATCAAAAATACATAACACCATACACACAACCAAATACCATATACACATCAACTTAATTACCCACTTGGTAATCCTTTCGAATTTTCTTTTTCCTTGACTTCCAATTAACTTTTAATTAACAGTTCATGCCATACCACACAAGTCTTAACCAAATTTCTTACCATGACTTTGGACCCACATTTTTAGTTAGTTAATCACTAACTCAAGTAAGTACTTATCACTTAATTAAGGCTTAACATACCTTAACACCACTTAAAACTTACTTGATTTCACAACACAAACATCACACAACCTTTAATTAATTTTAATCAACATGCCATGATATTTAAATCATCATGGCCGAATTGCATATCATCAAAA